AAATACTGAATCGATTGATTTCTATTCAAATATTATGAAAATTGAATATATCAAGTTATGTAGAATGGTTCTCGGTTAGGATGATTGAGGTTAGGAGGTTGTGACTAATACAATCAAACAGTATTGATGGAATGGATTTGGGATTGGTTGAGTACTATTGTAATGTTTCTGGAAAAAGAAAGATAGAAAGTAAAAAAAAAAACCGTTTCTCTCACAGGGAAAAGAAAATTTTGGTCAAACAGGAAAATTTATTTTATTGTATTCATTCCCTCCCATTTTAAATTTTTATTTTACTCTCATTCAATTTCTCTCACTTAATTTTTATTTTTAATTGGTAGCGTTGACCTGGTGCACTTGAGGCTGTTAATACATAAAGTTCTATCCAAAACTATGAACTCTCACAACTAACCAAGACTATTGATTTTCTCTGTTTCGCCTATATACAACTCTCTACTTACCAGTACTGAGCAGCCAAAAGTGTAACTCGCAGCATACGACTTTATGAATGTACCGAAGCCTAAATATTATTATCCCTCTTTTTTTTTTTGGGATTCATTAAATGAACTTTACGTGAACAAGAGTGTCTTTGAGTAGATGAATCTCATCAAGTACAAACTCTTTCCTATGTGGGGTAGGTAATGCTATGGGAACTGCTGTCGAAGATCCATTTGCCTTAGTAGTCTGAGCTTTCAACCACAAGGGTGCGGCTTGTTTGTCCTTATCGCTACCAAATGCGTGGTTTATTTTTTTTTTTTTTTGGTTCCTTTCATTCTAAATTTTTCATCAACGCAACGAAAATTTCGAACAACGAACAACGAAACAAAAATATGAACCAAAAAAAATTGAACTCTTGATAAAACAACTTTACCCAATTTTATCATTTTACATTACACACAAATTATATATACAGCAATGGTATGTGCTACTAACAGGTGGAAAATTCCATAAAGTGGTTTATATATAAGCAGATTTCAATACTAACTAACTTTCTTTCTAGTCTTCTTCTTCAGTTCAAGCTCCAGGTGGTTTAAGAAGTGCAGCCAAAAGAAAGTCTACTGCTGACAAGAAGGCTCAATCTTCAAACGCAATGCCATTATCCACAAGATCTGCAGGTGCAGGTGGTTCTTCTTCTACAATGATGAAATTGTTCACTGATGAAGCTCAAGGTTTAAGAGTTGATCCTTTAGTCGTATTATTTTTAGCTGTTGGTTTCATTTTTTCAGTTATTATCTTACATGTATTTGCAAAGATCACTGGTAAATTCACGTCATAGATACATGCCTAATTACTTCTTTTGAAAATGTACCATTAGTATGAAACTGTAGGGATATAAAAAGGGAAAAAGATGAAAACGGAGAGGAAAGAGAGCAGGTTGAGAATTAAGAGAGTACTAATCAGGGATTATACTTTTACTTATTCTCTATGGTTTTGTTTAGAATGCTAGTGTTTTTTTTATATATATATAACGATTAATTGTGGGAACTCATACTGTATGATTAGTTCAAAGCATTTTATCCAATTTGCTGCTTTTAAATTTATTTCATTAAACCTTTTTGTCTTTTTGTATTGTCAATTACAACTTTAATATATAAATATCTTTGTGTTATTAAATCTTATTATTCTCTGTCTAAATGGTTCTCTACTTACATTACATATCCTGTAATAAACTATTTACAACGGTAACCAACCCATCCTTATGTACAATATGTTTAATATCATTTCCTTTGTCGTCATATTTGACTTCCCATTCAATCTTATCCTTATACGCTTCAAATGATTGTTTCCATTTTTGATCTTCTCCCAATAATCTCTTTCCTCTAATTTCAATTTCAACCATTGGGTATTGTTTACCTAAAATCACACATAATGGAATACCTAAAGTATTGGATTCACGTATCTTCTTTCCAAACGATACTGAATCACGATTATCATAACGATAATCAATTCCTTGTTTATTCAATACTTCAAAGAAGTCGCCAAACTTTTCCTGGTTTTCCTTACCCACTTCAACTACAGTAACTTGCCATGGGGCAAGCGTACTTGGCCATACTAATCCGACGTCATCACGATATATCTCAGCTGCAGTGGCAATAATTCTACTAATACCAATTCCATAACAACCCATCATAATTTGCTTTTGGTCCATTCTGCCGTCTTCATTAGGTGCACTGATTTTACAAGACAAAGGTTTGGAATACTTATCACCCAAGTAGAAAGTATGACCTAATTCAATAGCATGTTTAGAAGTTAAGGTACCGTCTTCACACATACCACAAATCTCTCCTTCTTCAGCAAGAACCATTGGAATATCGGTTAAGGTAGTCATTAAAGATCTATTGATGAATTTTATTGGGAAATCTGGGAAATTCGATCTTGAATGCAATCTAGAATCCATGACTCTAATTATATGCTTGGAAATTAATGTTTCTTCGTTTGAAAATTCTTGTAAGATTTCTTCCTGGTTGGATATTTTAAGATCAATATCTGGTAATTCTTGTTTAACAAATTTAGGTTCAAGAGTTCTTGAAGTTGGATAATATGCACAAACTAAAGTAGATTTATCTTCTGTCATGAAATATCTCACTGAGACTTCCCCCAGTTGAGTCTCGTCAACCGATTCGGGGTATGACAAAGTTTTTTCAACATTTGAAACATGATGACATGAATCACAGGTGAAAACGGTATCTTCCCCCGTCTTATCAATACAATGCCATTCGTGACTTAAAGAACCACCAATGTCACCCGAATCAGCAGCGGCTTTAATATAAGGTAATTTCAAATCCTGGAATATCTTATGATATGCCCCCACGACCTTTTCATAACTTTCCATTGCTTTCGCTTCACTAATATCAAAACTATATGCATCCTTCATAAGAAACTCCTTTCCTCGAAGTAATCCACCTCTTGGACGTTTTTCATCTCTAAATTTGGGATTTATTTGATATAATAAAACCGGTAACTCCTTATAACTACTTAAATTCCTATTTACATATTCAGTGATTTCTTCTTCAGCAGTAGGAGCTAATAAATATTCATCATTATTCAATTTAAATAATTCTCCACCACTACTCCATCGTCCAGTTTTTTCCCATAATGTTCTATGACTCAATAATGAAAGACTCAATTCCTCAAATCCAATCTCATTCATACGGGTACGAATAATATCACTTATCTTATTCATGATGGTGAGTCCCATCGGACCCCAATTCACTAATCCAGCACGAGGATATTGGATTAGTCCTAGTTTGGTGAGGACTTCATGTGTAGGTATGGTTTTTGAATATTTGAATTTCGAGAATTGGGATCCATAAAATTTTGGAACTGTTTTGAGAGCAGTTGTGGTTGTTGTAGTTATGTATCTTTTGTTAATCATCTATTTTGTTGCATTCAGGGTGTGATGGAATATAATATGGAGTTTATATCTTGGGATTGAAATTTTTCAGTATTTTTTTCTCTCGGTTGTAAGTACCCTGAGTGGATGAGAGTGCGAACTGTATTGAAATGTGGAGACATGCAATGAATGTTATTTAGAAACAATGTGGTCAGGTTCGTTTCCCTCCGAGTTAATTAAAGGTCTCTCTATAAATCAATGGTGACTAATTGATTAATAAAAGTTTATTCGCCCTGGACATTGTGATTTTTTTGGACCAACTCAGCAAAAATAACAAGCAAATATAAAAAGTAATCTGGTGGTAATCCCCTTGCTTCGAAAGGACTTCTGACCTGTTTCCACTGAACTTTACAAGAGAAGGATTCGTTCTGTTCCATTGCTTATAGGCAAGAAGATATTATTGTTGGAGAATAATTTGTCCCGTTAATCTTTTGGTTTTTGAGTGGGAACTTTTTTTTTTGCAACCAACGCAGACCATCAAGAACCAACAACATAAAAGATGAAGCTACTCTTTCTATGATTCACTATAAATTGCGAGATTCAGTATATGAGAAATTTTTAAACCACCTAGTCCCCGTCGCAAAGCAAATGATTGAAGTAATATACAAAGAGACATCTTAAATTGATAGGATAAACTAATTATTTGACTAAAAAAACTTTCTTCGATACATTACTACAAAAATTGAGTTATAATATTATGAGTAAATAGTGCTACCTTTATCTGGATTGGTCTACAAATGAACCCAGAAGCAACTGAGTATACAAGATGGAAGACATTATATTGGAAGCAGCAATTTAATCCTTCTTTACCAGATGTACTTTATAGTGAACTTTACGATGCTGATTGGACATAAGATGCAACCCAACGGAACGGAGCATTTTGACATTCTTATTTTATGGAGTACGTTTGGTACTTCAATGAGAGAATTATTTATTTTGACTAAACATAATTGATAGTATCTTGGATAAGAACTACTTAAAAGAAGTCCAAGAGGTAGAAAACCAGTGGAAACATTCACGCTCTCAACGCAGCTATGTAAGCAACTACATTAAAATACCTCTCTTATATGGATTGAACATTAGTGTTCGTCCCTTGCATATATCCGTTATTAATACGCACAAATTGTATGGCAAATTGATATAATAGCTCAAAAAATAAATTTATATCGTTCTTTTTCTATGAAACTCTCATAAGGAGTCTCTTATGGAAGAAACAGTTAGTTGAAGGATCTCTAATGTCAGCAACGGGTTGCAACTTTATGTTTGGTTTTGTAAGCCCGCATTCACCGTTCACCAATTCTGATATCCATTGAACGAGCGATTGTCCATTAAACAATTGAGTCATGTTTACACCAAGTTCAATTTACTTTAATGTCAATTAAATAATCAGATATTTAAATTGAGGTAATCTGGAGAAATATGAAGTAGTGTACTTCTTGAATACTTCTGTATGGGATACTTCAATATTAGGTGACTACAATTTTGCAGCCATTTTCTCCCTGATGAGACCACACATCTAAGAAGTAAATTGCACTAGTCCCTCCACCAAAATCTTTGAGCGAATGTCTTCGATCTCAGTCCATAGACCCTCCTATTATCAGGACACTCGCCACCTTAAACCATTTTTCGTAAAACGAACGACATTTTCTGTATCATCTGTTTGCGTCAACCCAATTTTTTTCTTACATGAAGTGGAGTTGTCTAGGCAATGTAGCAAAAGCGCAAAAGACTTTTTTAGAGAAATATCACTAAAACGAATAAACCCTCCTTAACAAGAATTTTATGGGTTCCGTCTCTGGTGTTCAAGCGGTGTTTTCGGTGATAAGGTATGCAGATAGAATTCCCAATTTGTGGAAATATGAATTTTTGTGTAAGATTTTGATAAGTGAGGTTTTCTATTTAAAGGGCTTTGCAGCCAATTTTATGAAACGATTTGAGCACAAACAAAGACTCTTATATATAATATTACGGTAGCTTAGAGAGAGCTAACAATCCCCTTGTATTCTTATGACTATTGTTGGCCTAATAATTGATACTCTAACAATCGAAAGTGGGTTTCTCGGAGGATATTTTTCTTTTCTTATAACTTCTACTTATTTGGAAATAATATAATTGTGATGTTTTTACAAGTTCTAACTCTTTCTGTTTTCTAGGTTTAATATGGGAATAAGTTTGTATAAGATTTGTAAAGATTATACACAACTGTTCTGATGCAGGTCAATTAAGCATATAGAATGGGCAAAATTTCTCCTTGATGAAGTTGATACTATTCTTAAAGAAGCGAATCTTATTCCAATGGTTGACAGCTATAAATTTTAGGAAATGATTACTATTCAAGTGGCCATTGGGTATCCTAAGTTATATATGGGAGTTGTGTAAAAAAATATGGGAGTTGTAAAACTTCCAAATAAATTGGAAATCTTTGTATGAATTGAAGAAAACTGACAGTTTGCAGCCAAATTTCAGCCAAATTTAAGGTAAAAAAAAAATAAAACACTATTGCCCCATTTACACATCCAAAAATTAAGCAATCGACTCAAAACTTCTCTTTCACATTCTCAATGGATCTGACATTCACTTATACTCATTAAATTTGATTTATACCTTCAGAAACAACAAGATATTTGACTAAAATAAAATCGAAAGGCTGATAATTTTGTCTAGAGTTGTAAAAATTCCAAACTCCAAAACTCAACAAATGGAGGGTTGGCCGAGTGGTCTAAGGCGGTAGACTTAAGATCTACTGGACAGTGTCCGCGCGAGTTCGAACCTCGCATCCTTCATTATTTTTGCCATTTTTGCATCCTACATGGTCTATGATTGAAATTATAACAATAGAACTTCAAATTGTTTCATATTGTGCACCAGATCTGGGTTTGTCGGATAAAGGGAACATCCAAGAAAAAATTGACTTTAAGGTTTTAAAATTTTTTTTCGCTATAGAAAAAAGGAGTCATCTTTTAGACATTCCAAACGGGATCTTGCATTTTTGACTAATGACTAGACTAGAGGTAATCAGAAATGAATGGTCAAATAATAATTAAGATATCAATATTTCTAATGCCGCCAATGGCCAAAAACGGGAATATGCATGAATTAACCCAAATCAAATGATTTCCATATGCCACCACGGTTTGTTTGAAAATATTCCTACGTTGTCGTACATTGAACACACCAGTGGAAATCAAATATGCCGCATCTCCCTGACACGCCTGGACCATCCTTTTCCTTAGAAGGGGTGTGTGTTCGGTAATGAGGCGATTTTAAACACGATGACTAGAAATTTAAATGGAAAAAGTCGGAAAAAATGTTTCGACAAGCTCCGTGATATTTAGGGAGCTAAAAATAAATATCAGGCAACACTTCGTTTCATGGATATCCTGACATTCCTACCAATTTGAACAGAGTGTGTGGTTTGCCACATCTCCTTGAGGACACATATCTTTCCTCCAGCCCTCTTTACATATCCAGTGACGTGGGATGAGTTTAACAACAAACTATTCAATATACGAAAACGTGCCTAAATAATACTGACCTCTATCTTTTCTTTTTATAGATATCAAGATATCAAGCAGCTGTGACCCAATCGGAAAATTGAGTCATGACTCAGGATAAATTCTCAAACGATGAAAAATTTTTTTGGTCGCCTATCTGGTGACGTAAATTTCTTTTTTCTTTGTTGCCCGACTAAAAAATTTAAAAAATAATAAAAAAGGAAAAAATTCTGGAAATGTTCCGGTTGCAGCCAAAACTAATAAGGCAAAAAAATTAAAAATAAATTATTTTCTAGCCCTTAGAATCACCCGATTCACTTTGACATTCTAAAACAGTGACGCGATGGATACACGTTATACTTCTGGCTATTAACTCATCGAGGATGATTTAATTTTAGATTTAACCACTAAGAAAAACGATGATTTAAGTCGCCTGAGGATTAATTATTTAATTGAAGTATAAATATCCCTTAAATTTTCCATATTTAAACTTTACTCTTCCTCCCCTCCTTTCTATTCGTTTCATCATCATCATCATCTAATAAGTCTTCTAATACTTATACATACACACATTACATATAATAAAACAACTACAAATGCTACTTCCTAATCAATTTGCCAATCCAGCCGTATTAGCTACCACTTTGCGTATGTTTGCCAGAAGTCCACAAGGACAAAAAGCAATGGCCGCTGCTGCATTCTATACTGTAGCCAGTTTCGGTGTTGCCAGCTTTGCTGAAAGAAGAAACATTGGGCATGTTTTCAGACAATTAGGTCAAAACTAAACACATTACTACTACTACTACTACTGCTACATTAAATCACTAACAACCCGTTCGGAATTGTTTTTCTATTTTTTGTTATTTCCACACATTACTACATTTTACGATTACAAACATCAACAACAACAGGTACATTGTTATTGAAGCTGAAGCTTTTCAACAAACTGGTTTGTTATGAAATCACACGTCTTTTTTTATCATTATTATTATTATTTTTATTGTACATTAATTGGGTTGGGAGTTTTTTTTATGTATTTTTAATATCATTGTCTACTTTGGAGAGACTACACACTTTATAGAATAATACACATACACAAGGTTATGAAATCAATTCAACTGTAAAAACTTTTATATTAAATCTGCTTCAATCCTTTTCCAGGAACTCTTCTCCAATATCTATTGGTACTACCAAATAACAATTCTCTACTTGATTTCCACACAGTTAATAAAATATCTTTCCTAGGTAAGAATTCCGGAAATACCACTTTTATAACATTGTCCCCTTTTCCTGCAGTTGATCTAGTCAACACACAAAGATAAAATATCACTTGTCCATAGCCATGAAATCCTTCATGAATCATTAAATCGATCATATCTTTTATAGGAATGAAGGAGTCAGTTGAATTTTGAAATCTCCAAGCCTTTTTAGTTTTTAATTGTACTCCAAATCCTCGTATAACTATAAGTGTATCTTCTGGTGTTTGTCTTAGGAGAATTACCAGTAAGGCTAATGATAGAATTATAACATATGGGTCCCTAATTGTGTGTGTGACGTTGGAAGTTTTCAAATAAGAATTTCCTATAACAGCGATTAAACTGCATCCTAATATGACCAGTAGTAATGACTTATATTTATTTATGAAATCCTTTTCTTTATGATTAACTGTAAACTTTAGTAAATTTAATGATTTTAAATTCGATTCATCCAATGATGGAGTAATCTCCAAGTTATAATCTTTCGGGGAGGACATTGGGCTTAAGTGTTGTTGATGGTGATGATGAAGTTGGGAGTTGGACGAATCTAATCTTACATATATATCATAATGAAAATCAATAGTGAAATATTCTTCAAAAAGGAGTAGAAAAGAAAATAGGAGCTAAATGGGTTTTGAAAAAGTTAAATCTCTCGATAATCTTTAAATCTCTTCAAAAAAAATAAAAAATCTGAGTCACAATAGGTCACGTGAATTTTTGCAATTTTCTTATTGTTACTGTACAATGTATTACACCAAAAGTGTAATTTCGCAGACTCCTTCTTACTTGACTTTACATAGACAGAGAATCAAAGGCACTATATGAATACTCATACATGTCAAATACATAAAACATTCGTCTATTACACAAAATACACAGATAAAAACTTTCAAAGATCTAACTTTGTTTTAGAATTTCTTCATTTTCTCTTTGTTTCTTAATTTCATCAATTGACCCAACCACCATTTCATTCTTCCGTAACTCTTTAAGTTTTTCAGCTCTAGACATTGGTTTAGCCCCAGTTCTAATTTCAATTTCTCTTCTTCTACTAGCTTCAGCATCTTCCTTCAATGCCTTTTCTTTTTCCATCATAATCATACTCAAACTTTGTTCATGTTCTAATCTAACCTTTCTCAATTCTTCATTATAATAATCCAAAGTTTGAATTGACTTACCGGTACTTTCACAATATTCGTTAAAATTAGTAGGAAGTTTTCTCTTTAATGCCATTTCAACCACTTCAGGATGTCTTCTTTCTTCAAGTACAAACTTCGCCTTGACTTGTTTTCTGGTTCGATAGGGGAATAATTGAGATATCAACGAGAAATCAGTACCAAACATACTAATAGCCTTATAGAATTGAACCAATTCTTCTGGGGTCCATTTTTCAGTATGCGTTCGTTTCCCATATGTAGTTGATGTTATTGGATTGGCAAAGGGATTAGATTGTTCCACTGATCTACCACTTGCATCAGCACGAGGCTTAACAACAACGGCAGAATCTTCATTAAAGGATATTTTACCATCAGTCATAGTTAATTGTAAACTAGGAGCTGATTTTGGTGGTTCATCTTCATCTAAGAAACTCTTTTTGCTAGGGCCAGGTTTGGATTGGTCTGGTTCGTCATCATCAACTTGTTCACCTCTCTTTCTCATTTCTTCTCTTTTCTGCTTTTCATTAATCATTTTTGCTTCTTCCAACGAAACCCGTTCGGCTCTTGCGATCTCTCTTGTTCGCCTTCTTTCATCTCTTTGTTCACTGAGGGTCTTTTTTGCTTCTACAACAAGTTGGAAGTTTTCACTCACTTTCCCAACTGGTAATGTTGCTTTACATAATTCCGCCATTGTCATTTCTTCAACATCAACCTCCACTTCTCCAAACAAGTCAGCATCTTCATCCTTAACCTTTCTCGGCAATTGATATACACTGGAGATTGTAGTGATCAAGTTCTCAGGTTCATCAGGTATGACTTCCGCTTCTATGATATTTCCCTCCGCGTCAACTACTCGATCGGGTTGTTCTTGTTTTGGCGCATCTTTTCTTCTAAATTTTCTTAATCTCTTAGAAATAGGATCAATTCCAACCACAAATTCGGCACTTACTCCTTTTTTGCTTGTTTTTGGAGATCCAGGAGGAGTGGTTCCATCTTTCGTTGAAGTCAGTAGTTGTTGTTGTACTGGATTTTCTTCAGGAGCAGGAGTATGTTCCTTAGTCGTAATCGCAGTACTTATTACCGACGCACTAGAAACTGTTCCCATACTACTAAGCACGGACATTCTCTTCATAGCAGCCCCAGTCCGGCTTTGTGCCAGGGATCTTCTTCTTTTGATAGGTTTTGCGATTGGAATTCCAATTCGTGCCGGGATATGGGTAGAAGAACCAATACTAGAATCCTCTAATGGATGTTGCTTCATAGATACTGAACCGGATCTACTACGGATTCCTGGGGGATGTATGCCTGATAATCTCCTCTGACTGAATCCAGAAGAAGATTGTCGACGACTTCTGGTGTTGGAATCCATTGTCGTTGGTTTGAATATCAGTTCTTCATCGTCAGATATTACTGCCGAAGTCAGTACAGGTGGTGGTGGTGATTGGTGTTCTAGCTTTTTGGAAGCATCTTTAGGGTCGATATCTTCATGTTCTTCATTGTTGTCATTTTCTTTTTCTTTGGTGGTGGTGGTAGTTGGTGCGTCACTTGATAGTGTTAATCTGAAAGCAGGTTTGCTTGCATTATCTTCTGGTGCTTGGGTGAGAGGTATCTGCGTACTTGGAGGTGATTCTAGATATGGGATTGGTGTTTGTGACTGATCTTGTTTGGTTTCAGGTTGTTGTTGTTGTTGTTGCTTATAATCAATTTGTGATGCTGGTGGTGAGGCTGGGGTGATTGATTTTTGTGTTCCTGAAGAAGTTGGGGTTGCTGTCTTTCTTTTGATTGCTTTCTTCACTTTTGGAGTGAAGTGAGTTGACTTCTTAACAATACTACTCATACTTAG